TCACTATTTCCCAGGCGGCCTTCAACCACTACGTCTCCCACCAGCCCCTCTCTGTTTGTAAACAGCAGGTCTAGCGGGGCCTTACCCCTGGTAGGTTCATTTACCAGTTGATGAAGGAAATTGTCCTCTATACACTCCAGGAACCTCTTAGACTGCCTCTTCTCTGCAGTATTGAGCTCCCAGCAGATATCCAGCAGGTTAAAGTCACCCACAAGGACAAGGGCTGACGATTTTGAGACATCTGCCAACTGCTTATAGAATAATTCATCCCCTTCATCATCCTGGTAGGGCGGTCTGTAACAGACACCTATGATGATGTCAGCCTTGTTGGTCTTCCCCCTGATTCTGGTCCACAGGCACTCAATCTTATCGTTGCTGACCTGAATTTTAACAGAGTCAAGAGACTCTCTAACATATAAAGCCACCCCTCCACCTCTCCTACCCTGCCTGTTCTTTCTGAAGAGCTTGTAGCCTTCCATAGCAGCACTCCAGTCATGCGAGTCATCCCACCACGTTTCTGTGATGGCGACTACATCATGGCCTTCATGCTGCACAGTGGCATGTGTGGAAAGGCTCCAAGTTGGCTTTGTTTTAGGCATGGTCAACTGGTTGCTTCTGGCCCTCCTTCACCTCCATTCTCTTGTGCCTCGTTCTGCCCCCAGCCCGGACTTGTTCAGGTTTCATCAAAGAGGGTGGACCCCATGCAGCGAAGGCCCCAGCCCAACAGCGCCCCTTGGCGACCACCACCCAGCAGATGCAGGCTCTGCTCCTCCAGACATCCAACAGCGCCCCCTCCTGATCATGGTTAGAATTGGGCCAAAAGGTGGAAAGTACTGAACCGTTTTCTTTTTGAAGGGGACTTTTGGGTACAGGATTATTGTTTAGTTATTTTTGTGTTCTTTTGTTGTTCTGTCAATACACATATATCCTTTAATAAAGAGCTGGGTTTTTTTCTTTCTCCATACTTCCTCAATTGGAGTCTCTTAACTTTGGGTTTACTATTGCTTAAAGGGGAGTTTGGTCTTCCTCATAACTCATCCTCATTAAACTGAGACAATGAATCAAGCTGTAATTAATTTATTTTCATCTTAAATTTCACTCAGATCGTTTTTTTGTAATTGGAAAACTTCATAAGCAAGAATGCTGTTTATAGTTTCAATTCACAAATTAAAATGTTTAATAACATGGAACATATTTCTTGTTCTTACAGTTAATAGGAAAATTGTAGAATCATAGAGTGGTTTGGGTTGGAAGGGACCTTAAAGATCATCTAGTTCCAACCCCCCTGCCATGGGAAAGGACAGCTTACACTAGACCAGGTTGCTCATAGCCCCATCCCATCTGGTCTTGCACACTTTGAGGGATGAGGCATTCACAACTTCTCTGGGCAACCTGTTCCAGTGCCTCACCATCCTCACAGTAAATAATTTCTTCCGTATATCTAATCTCTTTTCTTTTAGCTTAACACTATTCTTACTTATCCTATAACTACATCCATGCCCTTGTAAAAAGTCCCTCTCCAGCTTTCCTATAGGTCCCCTTTAGGTACTGAAAGGTTGCAATTAGGTCACCCCAGAGCCTTCTCTTCTCCAGGCTGAACAACCCCAGCTCTCAAAGCCTGTCTTCATAGGAGAGGTGCTCCATCCTTCTAATCCTCTTTGTGGCCCTCCTCTGGACACACTCTGACAGAGTGATGTCCCTCCTGTGTTTGGGATCCCAGAGGTGGAGTCTCACCAGGGTGGAGCAGAGAGGGAGAATCACCTCCTTCAGTCTGCTGGTCATGCTGGTCTTTTGATGCAACCCAGGATACAATTTGCTTTCTGGGTTGCAAGCACACAATGTTGGCTCATGTCCAGCCTCTCATCCACCAGCACCCCCAAGATCTTCTTGACAGGGCTGTTCTCAATCCCTTCATCCATCAGCCTATATTGATACTGGGGTTTGCCCTGACCCGGATGCAGCACCTTGCACTTGGTCTTGTAAAAATCATGAGATTCCCACAGACCAATTTCTTGAGCTTGTCCAGGTTCCTCTGGATGGGATCCTGCATGTCAACTGCACCACTCAGCTTAGTGTCATCTGTAGACTTGCTGAGGGTGCACTCAGCACCTTTGTCTATGTCACTGATTATTGGTGATGCATAAATGAGGTTGCACACACAGAATTTGATCTGGGGATTCCACAAGACCTGTCTCTGCATCCCCTTTTATTAGCCTTTTTGTAAACAGCACCTGGTGTTGCCATTCAGTTGATTAGGATTCCCAGAATTTTTGCCAACCCAATGTTTTGACTTTACACAATCATTCTGTTTTCAGTCACATACCATGCATACTTTCAAGTAGTTTTCCACTTGAGAACATGCATCCTTTGTCAAAACATCAGAGAACATCTTTTTTCCTCAAGGTCAAGGTGCTCCCCTTCTGGTCCTAATCAACTGGACAGCTGGTGCAGCTGATTCAGCTTGTTCCCACAATCAATGAAAACACTGAATAGCACTGGTAGCAATGACCACCGAGGGACACCACTTTTCAGTGATGTCCATCAGGACATTTAGCTGTTGTGAACATCCACCCAATTCCTCATCCACCAAACAGTCCACCCATCAAATCCATATGTCTCCAATTTACAGAGAAGGATGTTGTGGGACACCATGTCAAAGGCCTTACAGAAGTCCAGATAAACAGCATCTGTAGTCCTTCTCTTGTCCACTGATGTCACTCCCTCATAGAAGGCCACGCGCTTGTAGCAAGCGTGGGTAGAGGTCCTCTCAAATCTTCGTTTGCGAAGCCTAGCCATTATAGAAGGCCACTAGGTTTGTCAGACAGGACTTGCCCTTGGTGAAGTCATGCTGATTGTCTCAAATCACCTCCCTCTTCTCCATGTGTCTTAGCATAGGTTCTAGGAGGATCTGTTCCATGATCTTCCCAGACACAGAGGTGAGGCTGACAAGTCAGTAGTTCCCAGGGTCCTCCTTTCTATCCTTTTAAAAGATGGGTGCAATATTTCTCTTTTTTCCAATCACCTGGAACTTCCCCTGACTGCTATGACTTGGAGTGGCTTGTCAACTACATCAGCCAATTCCCTCAGGACTCTGGGAGGCATCTCATCAGGTCCCATAGACTTATGCACATTCAGGTTCCTCAGGTGGTCACAAACCTTATCTTCACTCACAGTGGAAAGCACTTTGGTCCTCCAGTCCTCATCTTGTGGTCCACCTACTCGAGAGCTGCAGAAAGAGAAGTTGCCAGTGAAGACTGAGGCAAAAAGGTTGTTGAGTACCTGAGTCTTGTCCTTGTTCATTGTTACCAGTTTTCCAGACTTGCTTATCAGGGGAGGTATGCTTACTTTTACCTTTCTTTTCTGGCTGACATACCTGTAGAACCCTTTTCGTTATTTTTTTCATCCTTTTCCAAGTTCAGCTCCATCCATACCTTGGCCTTCTGTATTGGGTCTGGCTGAGCTGGAGTTCATTTCCCCACAGTAGCCCTCACAGTGCTGTGCTTTGCATTGGTAGCTAGAAGGGTGTTAATAACGCACCGGTGTTTTGGCTGCTGCTGAGCACAGCATCAGCACTGTAACATTCCTTCCTCAATTGAGGGCAAGACCCTGGGAGGGGACCCAAGTAGGCCAGTTGACCCAAACTAACCAAAGGGATATTCCATACCATATGATGTCAGCTCAGATATAAAAGCTAAGGCAAGGAGCAGGAAGGCAGGCATTCATTGTCTCCGATGGTTGCCTGCTGAGAAACTGTCACGAGTGATGAAGCCCTGCTTCTCAGAAGTGGTCGTCTGTCGCTGCTCCTGGGAAGTAGAGAATGAACTCTGCTATCTTTTGCTTCTGCGCGCGCTCGCTTCACTTTACTTTTTGCTTTAAATAAACTGCCTTATCCCAACCCACGATTTGGGGTTTTTTTCCACCTTACTCTCTCCCCTGTCCAGCTGGGGAGTGATAGAGCAGTTGGGTGGGCACCTGGTGTCCAGCCAAGGTCAACCCACCACACCTTCCTCACCCCATCCCTACACAACCAGGCAGTGTCCCTATATTCTTCCCAGGATACCTGTCCCTGTTTCCACTGCCTGTGCATTTGCTTCTTGCCCTTTAGTTTGATCAGCAGGTCAACTCAGCCATGCTGATCTCTTGCCTTCCTTGCCCAATTTCTTGCTCCTGGAGATTGCTAGCTCTTGTACTCTATGGAAGATGTCCTTAGAGATCTGCCTACTCTGTCCTGCTCCTTTGTCACTGTCAGCAGTTTATCAGGGGACCCTATTGACTAGCTCCTTGAAATTATGGAACTTTTCTTTCCTAAAGTTCATGGGCCTAACTTTACTCCTCCCCTGACCCAAAATGTAGATTCACCTATGAACTCACCAACTAAGTAATAATTCCTTTTTGAAATGTGTCATTAAATATTTAATGATATTATTGCCTGCTCTACAGAACTGGTACAGATTTTTTTTCTAGTTTTTCAGTCTGGATATTGTGCACTACTGAGTACCTTATAAAAATCTATCCTTTCATTTTACTGGGAAGTGTAAACTGTTTTAGTTGATAAAACCTATTTTTATACAAAAATTCTGCTTAGTTTTATTATTTTTATTTCCTTTAAACCTGTATCAGTCAAGTCTCTAAAAACTTTTCTGTTTATTTGGGATTGATGTCAGGCAAACTGTAACCTCAAATATTCTATTTGTCCTTCTCAAATAATGAACTTTTTACATTAGCATCATTTAAGTTTTTACATACAGTCTAATAATTGTTTAAAAAATCATGTTTGCAAACTGGAGTCCTCCTCCCTTAATTTTTTGAGTAATCTTGCCAAAATAGCTATTCAGGCATTCTTATTTAAAATGTTTGTCTCCAGTAGTGTGATGGAATGACACACGGACCTCTGGTTTGATGGACAGAAATAACTTTATTGCTAATGAGCCAGGGTTTTTATATCATTCACTTTCAACTGGAAGTGGTTAAGCAAATCAAGGCAGAACACAGCTGCAAGCCACACATCAACCACACTCACAGGCCAGCCGACCATGCAGACACCACACACATACACCTTGGAGTTTCAAGTTACCCTTATTCACCCCCGCATGGTAAATTGCAAACTGAGAGCTCTGCTCTGTTCCCTGGACAGTAAATCAAGGCTTTAGATAAAACAATACTAGGTCATCTAGAAATTTCCCAGGCCTTTCTGATTTTCTTCTTTCTTGTTCTCACGCTGGCTTGCTACATCTCCCCCCTTTCTGTAGTTAGCACAACGGAGGAAGACAGCTATTGCTCAGCGCTCAATGATTCTGGCTCAATGACAAATTCAATATAGTCACTGCAAAACTTAGGAAAGATTTCTACAATTCACACCACAACTTATTTCTAGTTTACAAGGCATGTTGTCTATTGTCTAACCACATGATAGCAGATTCTAAGGCGTCTAAACAAACCATAAGGGCTTAATCAACTTTGCTTAAATTTATAGCTCTTACAAGATGTTTTCAGAGGCAGTGCAATCTATACAGATTTTTGTTAATAAGATGACTGCCATAGAGGCAGTAACTAAAATGATTACTTCTGATACCATACAGAATAACTAAGCAATACAGACCTCAGATGCAGAAAAGATCAAGGCCAAATGAGCTAAAAAGATGTTGCCAGGGATTTATACTGCACCCACTATTGTCATGATACTTTATACTTGCTCATCTAGGTGTTCAAGTCAACCCCAGATAATGCTGGTGTCACTGGTCCTCTGTTCTCTCTTCCTGGCTCTGTTGTTCTGGAAGTGGATTCTTCAGTTTGTCATTCCAGCTCTTGATAAGGCCGTATATATTTAGCTGGCAACCACCTAGGTCCTGCAGGAAGAAGAACACACGCATACCCTCTTCCCTAAGTTATTAGCTCAACAGGTCCTTCCCACTGATGTGTCTCAGGATCTTTATACTAGACCTTTGGTTTAGATGCTGAAGAGGGTTTTGCTGAAAAATGTCACTGTACTGCAGTAGTTGGAGAAATATCTTCCTGCACATTCAAAAAATTTAAAACATACAGGGCTTTTTGTACTCGATCATGCACTGAGGTTAGGGTAATTCCCCAATTTTGTTTTTCAAAGTACGATAAGTATGTTCCACAATAGCTTGGCCCATGGGAACATGAGGGATACAAGTAACGAGTGACTCACTGTCGTGGTTGAGGCGGGACAGAAAACACAAACCCTCATGGAACCAGAAACTGGAACCCTTTATTGCACGCCGCTGCAGATTTTATTCATTTTTTAGGCTACACATGTTAACTCTTTATTGGTCTCCAAGTTACATAAATAACCTTCTATTGGTCACTAATAACATTATATAATTCTGCTAACTGAGCATGTCAGCCAACTATGACTCAGCTTATTTTACCGGAAAACCATATTGTTACATCTTCCGGGTCCGGGCATATTTCTGCCTTGTGCAAAAGTTCCTACTTAGCTTTAACTCTTCCAGGATCCCCCAGGCCAGCTGGGGGAAACCCACCACAACTCTCCAGCGCTGCAAAAAACGCAGCATCACAGCAGCAGTGTAGGCAGATCCATTGTCTGTTTTGATGGATTTTGGCACACCCATGACTGCAAAAGCAGCCAGCCAGTGGCTACGAGTGTCTTTAGCCTTTTCACCTGTTCTAGCAGATGCATGAATGTAACCAGAAAAAGTGTCAACTGTAACATGTAAGTATTTAAGGACCCCAAAGGAGGGCACGTGTAACATCAGTTTGCCACAGTTCATTGCTTGAAAGACCTCAGGGATTACCTCCTCCTGCCGTGGGTAATGAGACAAATACCTGACAATCAGGGTATGCACAAATGATATCCCGTGCCCGCATTCTTGTTAAAGGAAAAGATTTCTGTAAAACCAAGGTATTTTGATGATAAAAGGAATGAGATGGACATGCCTGTTCAAAAAGATTCGGTACTACAGCTGGCATGGTTAACCTGCCACTGAATCATCTTCTACAATTAGTCCTGGCAAGTTGGTATGAGAACAAATAGGACAAGCAAATATAAGCATGGTGACGAGAATGTACCAAATGAGACATCATTTCTCTGATAAAAGACTCTCCAATTGGAGCTATGATACCTACAACATATTGAGAGTCAGAAACAATATTTAAAGCTTGGTCACTGAATAACTCAAATGCTTTTATAGTTGCAGAAAGCTCGACAATCTGTGTTGATGCAGAAATCATAATTACTGCTGACTGCCAAGTAGAGTGATTATCAGGCTTCCATACCACTGCACCTTTTCCAGTTTTACCTGAACCGTCAATAAAAGCAGTGATGGAATTAGTTATTGGAGTCCTGGAACAGAGATCTTGTGGCTGAAAAGGTAATTCAGATAATGACTGTAGAAACCTGTGTCTTAGCAATTAAAAGATGATTTCTCTTAAAAAGTCAGCAAAGGCAGTCTGCAAAGATAAAGATTGCAAAAGTAAACCATGAAAAACATCTTTCTTGAAAGGAAGATAAATTACATCTGGATTCAAGCCAACCAGAACCTGGCATCACTGGCGGGCTTTGTGTACCAAAGAAGTTAGCATATCCACAGTTGTAGTTAATGATTTAGGAAATACATGTGACAAAAAACCCCACTCTAAAATTATGACTTGTTGATCTTCTGTAATCCATTGTCCTATTAGAGCATAAAATTGAAAAGAACTACAAATTATGAATAAAGCAGTAGGGACATTGTCGCCAATGGCCTGCAAAGGCCATATGAATTTTTCAGATGACCAGTTGCAGAGCTTGCTGGCTTTTTTCAGTGAATTGACAAGGAGATGATAAATCAAGGTCACCCTTCAGCAGATCAAAAAGGGGATAATTCTTCTCTAGTAATACCAAGCATTGGCCCAATCCAGTTAATGGTCCCTAGCAATTTCTGTAAATCACTGAGTGTTTTGACATTAGTGTGCAATTTTAT